ATCAGACCGTAGAGCCCTGGGGATACTACACGATGTGATGTTGGTACAAGCCACAGACAACAGGCAACACCATCGCCAGCTAGTAACCCTGGAAGGGAAAGAGGTTCAAGGGCTCCGGGATTCGGGAGCCACTCTGACTCTGGTAGCCCCTCATTTGGTTCCAGGCTCTGCACACACCAGCAGATCTGTAGCAGTACGAGTAGCATGGGGAGCAGTATACAGAATACCCACCGCAAAAGTACATTTGAATTGGGGTGTTGGGGATGGCATGGTAGAGGTGGGCCTGATGCAGAAACTGCCAGCGGATGTCGTATTGGGAAACGACCTGGGTCGAATGACTTCCGCCTTTATTCCTCAAGCTCTACTCCAAGAGGCTCACCCAGTAACCACCAGGCAACAGGCTTGCACCACGGCTCCAGCAACACACTTTGAGGCTCAGGTAAAAGACAGGGACCCTCTTACGACCCGTGTTACCTGGGATACCCTGAATGAATTTGAGGCTGAGGTTCAGATAGACCCCACGTTAAAAGTATACAGGGATAGGGTGATCTCCGACCAGGCCAGATTAGAGGGAGAACATAACTGTGTTAACCTGGTGTAAAAATGTATTCGTGTGTTTTAGAATAGAGAGCATGCATAGGCTAACAGCCGTGAATAAAATTGTCAGTTGACTCCCTGAACTGTGTTTCGTCCGGTTACTGGGGGATTTGGGATATTGCCATCTTTTCCAGCGCTTTACTTTGGATTACCTTCTATACCAGCGGAGATCTTGGGATTTAATATTGCAGCTCCGCTACAACTTTGTCTAAACAAAATGATTTTAAGCTAGATTGTAAACACACTCTATACCAGCTCCACTGGAGAGCCCCAGTGTCACATATCAATAAGGGCTCAACCAGCTAAAAACAAGATCCAACGCGTGTTTCTGTGCCTCGCGGCACCTTCGTCAGGGACCAGACAAAATAAACCGGGCCCCTAACTCAAAAAACAAAAACATACTGGATGAATGGTAATTTTCAGATTATTGGCATTTGGTGATACATTGAAGTCACTGTTGCCTTAATAGAGATTAAAAGTATGTACAAAAACCAGATCGAATACTAGTAAGACATTCAAAAACAGGACTGTCCTGCAGAAATCGAGACAGCTGGAAAGTGTGACTGAACTAAATCATTAAGCAATGAGTTGATTTTTCAGAGTACCTTTCTGTCTCAAACTGCAGTGACTAACGCTACTCGATTTGTTTTTGTAAGTCACTGAGAGTGTGTTTGCACCCTTAGATGTTAATCTAAACAGCACGTCACGCGAAGCATAATGGTGTTCAAATCAGGTTGCTGAATAATTTTTACCAAATTATGAATTTTATCCACTAAACTGGGAATTAAAGGGACACTATAGTCACCCAGACCACTTCAGCTCAATTAAGTGGTCTGGGTGCCAGGTCCCCCAGGTTTCAACCCTTTAGATGTAAACATTGCAGTTTCAGGGAAACTGCTATGTTTACATTGCAGGTTTAATCCAGCCTCTAGTGGGTGTCTTCCTGACGGCCGCTAGATGCTCTTCTGCGACACTGGATGCGAAAATTGCATTCAGCGTGCAGAACGTCCATAGGAAAGCATTGAGAAATGCTTTCCTATGGACTGTTTGAATGCACGCGCAGCTCTTGCCGCACATGCGCATTCCGCTCCACTCGAGAGCCAACGTCGGAGTGAGAGGAGAGGTCACCAGCGCCAAGGGAGCCCGGCGCTGGATTAAAGTAAGTAATTGAAGGGGTTTTAACCCCTTTAGCGCCAAGAGAGGGGGGCCCTGAGGGTGGGGGGTCCTGAGGATGCTATAGTGTCAAGAAAACTAGTTTGTTTTCCTGACACTATAGTGATCCTTTAAGGAGCATTGACAAGGGAATTGCAAAATCTATCCCAAAACAGAGAGAATTTTTTGAGTTTAGTTATTTTGACCTCAAATTCGCTTGTATTATCGCCACAATTCCCAGTATAGTTACTAAATCCCAAGGTTACAGTTAGAACATTTCATAGAAATCAAATGAGCATTATTGATTTTCTTATTAATACATTAATAGCACATCTTGTACCTGCATAATTACTTAGCGCCATGAATGAAGGCAAATCTGTGCTTTCATGGACTTTTTTTACTGACGTCAAAGGTTAACTGATTATGTTCCACTCGGCGCGTAAACTTCCAGACACTTGGCAGCCCAGTTCCTGACATGTGGATGATTTAGTCACCTCTCGCTGGTGACCGAAACGGAACCTGCGATTTCCTCAGTTGGAGGTGCGTGAATTCTGCTTTTCTTTCCAACGAACAAAATGTTCACGTCAGAGCTAACAAAAGAACAAGTTTATCAGTCTGTGATAACTAAACATGTAACAAGTCAAGAATTAAACCGGGGACAAACCTTCCGGCCCCCCGCCGTTCGCCATAATACGGAGACTGGCAGAAATATGTTTGGTACATAAACGCGCCAACACGACGTGTGTTTATTTTAACTGAATGGAGAATAGCCTTCTTGTGCTGCAAATTAAAGAAATACAATAAATTGGCTGGGTCCCTAGTCAGTAATGACAGGCTGTTAGGAACATAATTAAATTTATTCCATAGTGTAGCACTCTAATCTCCCAATGGTGCGCCTGCACTTAAAGCAGTGCGTTTCTGACATTAACCCCTAGCACACCCAGACAGGGCAGAGATACCCCAGGGGGCCCCAGAGTGGGTAACGGGAAATCATAGGGGTTTGTCAACAGTGGGAGGAAATCCGGGACCGTGACAATCAATTATTCAGAGCATTTACTGCTAACGAGTTCTAATTAAGCTATCCCGCTGATTGTCCGGAATACATAATAATTTTGCATTACTAATGAGACTATGTGAAATTAAAAGGCCAAGCTTTGTGTCATGTAAACCAAGAGTGGCAGAATTAGCTTTAAGCGCCAGTGAGCATTGAATGAGTTAAACAATGATCAATTTGGACGCAGGATGGACATCGTTGGAAATGGCATTCACGAACGTGCGTGGCCCAGCTTAGTCATCAATGAGTTACATTTAAAAAAAATAATAATAATAATTGAGTGTTGACGGGCGAAGTGTCTCTGTGGTTAATTTATTATTCTTTTTTTTAATAAAGCAGATGTTTATAGCAAACGCAGAGCAATTTATCTGACAGTCTGCCTGCATTTGTCAAGTGTAATTTATTACATAAATTATAATTTTTTTAATATTGAAAAAAAAAATGTAAAACCCTAATGATATGCAAATACCTCAGTAAAAGCTCTGAGTCCAACAAAGCTCAACAATTAAAAAACAAAGCAAACGTACAAATTTAATTAATAAGGGCCAATTATAATACAGTCTGTTAATCTTTTCGTTGCTGGGGCATGGAGCTTCGATTCTTTAATATATTAACCATCATCGCCAATCAAAGTGAATTTCAAATTTGAGGGAGTCATTCCAAGCACTATGACCACTGCAAACAGTGGTTTGACTTCTAGCGTTGGGTCATTTGGCGGCACTTTCTGCAGGAAGACGGAAGCTCGCTATCTGTGCTAAAAATGGCGGTGCCTGACGTTTTCAGTGAGCTGGCTCTGCACTTCGGGGTCAGGAGATCGAACGAAAGCTCACTTTGAATTCCTCACAATTCTAATTTTAGTGAATATTCCTGTCCATGATGTAACTGTATGTATATGTGTATATACAGAGTGGTTCATGTGCTGCGGTTGTCTGTCAATAAACTAAAAATTAGAAGACTCGGTTAAACGAGCACACGTTCTTATGATGTTGTCTCCTATTCCTGCCAGCGGCGCTGGATCTGATCAGCTTGTTGCACGAAGTGTCTCACGGCAGATGCATCCGAAAACAACATGACCGTCTCTGAATAAAGACATTCCATGTGGGATATAAGAGCAATTATTAAATTAACACTTTTTGTGCCAGATAGGGGTTTACAGAGCTGTCCAGCATGGTATTAACCCTGGCTGGGCTCACAGTCCGTGCTTCCTGAGTTAAACTTTATTTTTGTTCATTTAGAACCCCCTGTGTTTACTGTAGAAGCATTACGTCCGAGCTAACATGGCGACTCATTAATTGTCTGCTTCTGGTGAGATCTTATTAGACATACAGGTCGTATGGATTAATTCTTCTGTACCTGCATCCCGGATGTTTGCCAGCTCATATAATTAGCTGAGAACCTGGATGGAGAAAACCAGATTGATTTACCCGGAGGAGACACGTTCGGATTGTCAGATCCCAGATTGCGAGTGACCCGCCACTGAGAGTTATTTTATCTTTGGTTATTAGTGTGAATTCTGACACATCCCATAACACAACGAGGCTTGTCCAATTCGCACTCTGGCAGCACGTTACATACGTTATTTACTCTCCTGTGTCGCCGGGTCACAGCGCGCGTGGCTCCCACATCCAACGCACGTTTCATAATCATCAGCAGCTCAGCCGCCGGTCGCTCAATATTTCCAGAGATTGGGTTGGGCTGGACGCTGTGTGAGTTACTTTAACAAACAACAAACACTCATCGCCATCACAAGCCATGCACTAATCTTTAAACCGTATCCTGCCCAGTACCTGCAACATCGTGATCGCAATCTACCGCTCACTGCAATGTGAGAACAAGGGGCTTCAACAGGCGCAGTGATAAGCCCGGGGTCACAGCTGAAAGTGAAGGCTAGAGACCATATAGATAATTTAAAGATAGAGCTTCTACAGCTCTGCATGAATTATTTGAATTTGGGGATTACAGAGCATCTCATAGTAAATGTTTCAGTGTAAGGGAAATAGATTCTTAAACGGTTAAATACCATTTGTGAGTTCTAGATTCTTTGAGAGTTGATCCATATATAGCATTTTTGCATTTCTGTGTGATTTTAAAGTGGGTCCTATATTATCGTAGGGTTAATCATCACGTGGGTGTTCTCTTAATCATCACGTGGAAGATTGCTGGATAATTTGAATGAGTGTTTTTCTCACTGAATGCTTTACACGTGCAAGGTTATCAGGGGGTCCTTGTCCCCGGAGAGCAGATGGTAGGGTGACATCGCCATTTCCGAGAGTTCAGAAGCCGTGGTGGGTGGATCGGTAGGCTGACACCCTGTGTGAGACTGCTCTTGGCTGGTTGCTTGTTCCGCTACGCTATAAATAGAAGCCATTGTCGTCCGTGACTACTGCCGCTGTCATTCATCTCTTCAGAGGGCCCACTTGTATTTGGGGGCTATGTTTAGCCTCACACCTTATCCCTCACTCCCACCTCTCCTTACTGGTGTTTCGCAGTGACAGAGGTGGGTATTATATTGATTGCGCCCATCGTGCGATACAAAAGATTCCAGGAAAAATTACTACTATGGACTCTTCGGCTTTTCCATTCTGTGCGGTAAAAATAGAAGCCAAGTACATTAATCCTGTAAATGCCTGGGCACGTGGATGTTAAGTTTAAGGGAGAATTCTGGCCAGTATTAAAGTGATAGTAATATATATATTACTATTATTGTTATAGTTTACATAGCGCCAATATATTCCTCTGCACTTTAAATTATAAAAAGAGGAAGAGGTTAAGAATGCTGTTCTGAAACAAGCTTACAATGCTTACCCCGATCTCACACCCCGTGTTTAGCAGAGTTAGATTAATGTAATTATTATTATTAAGATCGGTGCCCTTCAAAATGAAAACAGATTTGGTAGATTTTCTAATCTTAAATTCACAATGTACACTTGTAAAGAACATTCTATAATTGTATTAAGTAAACTGTAAAATGTCATGTTTAGGACAATAAAGGATCCTCTTTAACCCCTTAAGGACCAAACTTCTGGAATAAAAGGGAATCATGACATGTCACACATGTCATGTGTCCTTAAGGGGTTAAGAGCTGATTTACAATTGTTCAAGATGGCCGGACAGCTGGTTGCGTGCAAATAATTTAAATTATCTCCAACATCATTACTACCAAAGATTGAATACTGGTTCCATTCTCAATGTACTCACTCTATTACACCTCAGGAAAACCACATTTATATGTGAAAATTGCACTGTGAGATAGAGTGCAAGCCTGCGCAAGTCTCTCATTCTCTTGTGCCATAATAAATATTAAAAGACACACAGATAAGGGGGGATTTGATAAATTCTCATTATATTTACCAAAAACATAATGAAATCATTCTTAGCCAGGAAGAAACTACCTTTTCTCATATAATTTTGGCGAGGGATTAAAAAATCTTGTTGGGGTGCCTAATCCATTTAAGACTTTCATTTAAAAGTTTAGACAAGAGCTGAACCGCCTGTAAATTGGGCAGGAGAGCGATATTGGACAGGAGCCGGACTGCAGATAGGTTGGACAATGACTAGACTAGAGCTTGATATTGGAAAGGAGCCGGACTGCAGGTAGGTTGGACAATGACTGGATTAGAGCTTGATATTGGAAAGGAGTTGGACTGCAGGTAGGTTGGACAATGACTGGATTAGAGCCTGATATTGGACAGGAGCCGAACTGCAGGTTGGTTGGACAATGACTGGGTTAAAGGTTCATATTGGACATGAACCGGACTGCAGGTAGGTTGGACAATGCCTGGATTAGAGCTTGATATTGGAAAGGAGTTGGACTGCAGGTAGGTTGGACAATGACTGGGTTAGAGGTTGACATTGGACAGGTGCCGGACTGCAGGTAGGTTGGACAATGGTTAGAGGTTGATATTGGATAGGAGCCGGACTGTGGGTAGGTTGGACCATGACTGGGTTAGAGGTTGACATTGGACAGGTGCTGGACTGCAGGTAGGTTGGACAATGGTTAGAGGTTGATATTGGACAGGAGCCGGAATGCGGATAGGTTGGACCATGACTGGGTTAGAGGTTGATATTGGACAGGTGCCAGACTGCAGGTAGGTTGGACAATGGTTAGAGGTTGATATTGGACAGGAGCCGGACTGCGGGTAGGTTGGGCCATGACTGGGTTATAGGTTGATATTGACCGGGAGCCTCATCTCCTACAAATGAGGTAATGAATGTGACAGGAGCTGATTATAGGGGTCCCAGGAACCTGTGTACAAATGCTTCCGCCCCCCCTTCATTTTTCATTCCACGTCTACAGTCTTCTTTGCCATAATTGATTTCCTTGGAATTTGCTGTAGGTAATGTATAGCTCAGTAAACACCCCCCACTCCCCAGGAGCACCAGCCGCATTGCACACAATAGAACACAGAGGTGGGCTTAATGTCTTTATTCCCAAATAAAGCCACAACGGTAGGTTGCTTCCACCGGCAGAATCAACTGGCTTAGAAATCATAATGATTTGTAAATACAGTAACTGGGGCAGCGAACCCGTTTCTCTATGTACGTGTAATGCAAAGAAAAGAAGATTAGTCAGTGACTGCGCGTACGGGCTACTGCGCTCTGTCTCCTGTTGTCCTGATAATTTTAGGTCATAAATATTAATAATGAAGGAATTAAATCACAAAGGAGAAATAAACGAGTTGAATGGCTCATCTCACAGTAAATGCTTGTGATTAGGCCGTGTGGATGTACATTAGTTATAAATGTTCCTTGGCGCAAACCTCGCGGTGGGGAAAAAGGCTCAGCCTGGTTTGTATGTACAGAGACGTTTATTTATTAAACCCCAAATTATAGCTAACTTAAAACTGAATGCAGCATTCAGACTGAAAGAGCCAAGCAGTAATGGTAGCTGAATTCTAGGATATTTCCAAACCAGTTCTTTTTTTTACTAAATGTTGCTGGTACAGAAATAGTGTTTTTTGTCCTACCTGAAACAACGTATTATACATCAATTAACGAGAGAAGCGAAAGCATTTTTTCACAGCGTAGCGAATCTCGCCCATAGAATGGTTTTACACATATTTTTTGCTGTGCTGCATAGTTGGACAAGGGGGCTTATTAACTAAACAGCCAGGTGTCATGAGACATACTAAGTAATTCAAGGTTCGACTTACAAAAACAAGAGGTGGTGAGAGCTGACCATCTAAATGAAATGGGGTGAAATGACTCAAACAGTAATAGCGTAGATTCAATTCAGATTAAAAATTGATTGCATGCATAGTGCATGCCTGCCAACAGTCCCGATTTCAGCAGGACAGTCACGATTTTCGGCCATGTTCCACCATCCCGCTTTAATTTGCTGGTGTCCAGCTTTTGGGGACTCCAGGAAACTGCCCACATAGCGCAAGCGTGTCTTATGATGCTCTCGTGCTATGCCTATGTTTACGGCAACAGGACCCTGCAGGGAACACTGAAACAGCGCTCCATGCATGTCCTGCCCTCAAAGGGCCGGCCTTAGTGACGGACAGGAAGCCTGCCGTGCATTAATACCAGGCTGTCCTGCCATTAAAATGAAAGTCTAGACCCCCAAAGAACTTTAGCTTTCTGAAACGTTTTATGCGGGAAGTGTGTCCTCTTTTTCTCATTTTATAAAAAGTGCAGACTTCAATAGAAATTGACACATTTACAAATTAACCTTGTTACACTATCCACATCCCATCCCCAGTTTTCAATCAGACACTGGTCCTGTTACTTCCTGCTTTGTTTTGCTCAGTGGAGATAAACTCAAGAGGCACCAATTGCCGGAGACAAGTGGGTGGGTCAGGGAGCTAAAACGGGTCAGCCTGAAAGGACCCCAAATCAGGACTGTCCTGCCGAAAGAGGGACAGTTGGGAGGCCTGAAATTGGCAACGTTTGTATGAATCGATGAAAGATGTGAGTCTTTGAAAAAGCAGGTGTGAATGTCAACTAAGATTTGACACTTAGGCCAAAAATGCTGAGAATATAGCAGATTTCTATTTAAGCCCCGAATAACTCTAAAGTATAAACAGGTTACAAGGGTTAAAGAAACAATACAGTATAGAAATGCTCACTGCTTAGTTACAGATCTTACCAAAATATGTTAATGTGAGAAGTCTACATTCTCAATTGCTGAGATAAAACATAGCCAGGTGTGGCAAACTTAGCCACTTCAGATTATGTTATTCTATGTCTACAGGTTGTCCCAGAAAAGCTGTTTCTGCTCTGTTAGTTTATATATTCGTCTATACCTGTAATAAAGAACATTCGTATGCTAACAGCCGAAAACCGCTAGCATTCATATCGTAGTTTCACGAACAGTGACTTTCCACACTATTCGTGAAACGAACAAAGTACCGAATGGGAGCCACACACAGGGGGTCGTGTGGCTCCCATTAACTGGTCACAACATCGTATCCATCGGCTGCTAATTGATTTCCCGGGTGGCCGTCGTTCGGCTACTGACCACGCGGCGGCGGTCATCTTGGATTTTCTTTTAGCCCAGTGGTGTTTGGTCGTCGAGTGCCTGGAACTACAATCGGCTACTCGACGGTGCTGGACTTCCAGGCCGTTCGGGAGCGCCGGTCTTTCGGTACTTGCTTCCAACCTATGCATTCATGACCTTCTGAAAAGTTGATGGTAAAATGTATTTCATGCGGCGTTTGGTTATTTATGCTGGGATCTGAGCGGTACTTTCCCAAAGTGTGCGCTCAGACCCCAGCTATCTGCCGAACGGTCATTCGGTACAATGGCACAAATAAAGTATAAGTTACATATTTTTGTGTGAAAAGCCGGTCCTGCTGTATGGAGGGATCATTCACTTAACAAGATATTCTAGTGGGAGTATCCCTCTCGTACAGCAGTGCATGGTGGGAAAAATGTCCTGCATGTTCAGTTCCCCATGTAGTCCTCTACTGTACAACCCCTGTAAAGTGACTAGGGAAACCCCTTGCATGGGGAATCACATAAATACTGGAGCTTTTAAATAAAATTGTCAGTTGACTCCCAGAACTGTGTTTCGTCCGGTTACTGGGGGATTTGGGATATTGCCATCTTTTCCAGCGCTTTACTTGGATTACTTTCTGTACCAGCGGAGATATTGGGATTTTATATTGCAGCTCCGCTACACCAGGCTTATTCACTTACGTGAGATTTCAAGGTCAATTCAACGTGGATTTCAAATTTAAGATTTAATCAGCTGAACTGGAAAAATTTCTAAGCAACCTAAGCTTTCCGTTTTCGCTCCTCTGGCCTTAAATTGAAATCTACTTTGAATTTTCCCTCTAGTAAATACCCTGTTACTGTAATAAGAAGTAACGTTTCTCCTTGTGCGTGAAGATACAATGTTACTTTGCACTGGTGCATTCTGCATTATTGCCATGGCAACGAGCACATCGTGATAGCAAGGAATTCACTGCGAATTTAAGATTTGAATCCAAAACATTCAGGTCCAACTGGATAAAGTCAGCTACGCTTCCAGTTTGGCTATTGTGGTCTCAAATTTATAATTCATTTAGAATTCCTTAAAATGTACATTTCAGTGAATTTAATTATGTTGGAGTTTAGTTTAGATAGTAAGCTCTTTTGGGCAGGGCCCTCATCTCCTACTATTTCCATATGTCAAACATGTTTTGATAGAATTGCTTATCTTGTTTTACCAACTGTACAGTGCAGCGGAACACATTGGCGCTATATAAATGATTTAATTGTTTTCACTTAATTATTGTGAACTGAAATTAGACTCGCAAAATAGTTGATTTGGAACCTGTAACGGATCACCTGGCACCCCGACTGGGTACCTCCGTTGAAAGATGCTCCTAGCGCTTCCTGAGGACTCCAAGCACTGCAGCCGACACCACAATCACCGAACCAGAGAAGCGTATACCTTCTCTCAAGCATATGAATGCTGTAGACAGTTGAATAGGAACCATACGAATAGGTTTACTCTCCTAGCAGTCAAACTGGAACAGCATACAATAAATCCTTCCCCCAATAATGAGACGACACTTCACTTTGAGGGTTAAAACAGGAACTCCCTGTACTGTCACATACAGTTAAAACATACTTTCTACCCAACTTTCATAACTCCAAAACCATACATCACATTCACATAAAATTACATATTCACAATCAATCCATTCAGGGGAACAACATATTCAAAAATGGCACAAATCAGACAAGGGGTTCAAAAGTTAGTAAAAAGTCCTTTGTGACTAAATGAAGCATGGCTTTCTGGCCCAAACCAGTTTCAGAGTCTTCTATCCTGGAGATAAGTAATTCAATTATCTCCCAGGACAGACACAAGACTCCATTAAGCACATGGTTGCAAAAAGACACAAAACACTTTAAAATACATAAAGTCACATTTACACCTAACACACAGACATTTCACATATCCCCAGATAGCTGGGATCTGAGTGCACATTATTAGATGAATGGCACTCAGATCACACAAATAAGCCTTTCTGCAGGGGAAATAAACGGTTTAACCTGCAGGGCCATAGTCCAAAGGGAGCAGGCGAGCAACCAGGCTTCTCCAGTTCACAGTGGCGAGGTTGGTTTCGCCACACTTCTCCCCTTTACCAACTAGACTAACAGGGTATCTGACCTCCTGCCGGTCAGTGCCCTGGTTAGTCCAGCAACCCACCCACAAAACAGAAACAGCAGTACAGCCCACCCACAATAACTGGTTACTACACCTGGGTAGAGGAGAACTTTGTCCATGTCCAGGTGCCTCACCACGACTGTGTGGGCAACTGTTAGGCTGCCTTGGTGGGTTGCTGAGTGGGCAGAGACCAGCGGTACTCTGCCCTGATGCCAGTGCTACCACAGAAGTAGCCTGGTGGGAGCCTGGTTGTGGGAGGGAGAGACCGACTGTCTCCCCTCTGGATACACCGCTCTGTGGCTGGGGAACAGGACCGACTGTCCCTACCCTTGTGCTGTAAGTGCAGAGACTACAGTCCCATCTGCACTGTTGGGGGGTGTAACATCTCCCCTTGCTGGGTTAGGCTGCCGCTGGAGAGAGGGTGTAACAAGCTCCTCTCTCTGAACTGTAAACTGCCACTGGGGAGAGGGGGTATCAGGCTCCTCTCCCTGACACTCTCTCTGCTGGTGGAGAGGGGGACCAGCTGTCTCCCCTTTCATTATTTTGTCCTGTGGTTGGGGTGCGAGACTGACGGTCTCTGCTCCCTGCAGGACACTCTGCCGCTGGGGAGGAAGGACGGCACCTTCAGCTCCCTGGGGTACACACTGCCGCTGGGGAGGAAGGACTGCACCTTCAGCTCCCTGGGGTACACACTGCCGCTGGGGAGGAAGGACTGCACCTTCAGCTCCCTGGGGTACACACTGCCGCTGGGGAGGAAGGACTGCACCTTCAGCTCCTTGGGATACACACTGCCGCTGGGGAGAGGGGATAACAAGCTCCTCTCCCTGACACTCTCTCTGCTGTTGGAGGGGGAGACCGACTGTCTCCCCTTTCAATAATTTGTCCTGTTGCTGGGGAGAGGTGATAACCGGTTCCTCTCCCTGGAACACTCTCTGCTGTTGGAGAGGGGTACCAACTGTCTCCCCTTTTAATATATTGCCCTGCTGCTGGGGAGCGAGACCGACTGTCTCCGCTTCCTGCAGGACACACTGCCGCTGGGGAGGAAGTACAGCACCTTCAGCTCCCTGGGATACATACTGCCGCTGGGGATCTGGGCTGACTGCCCAGCATCCCTGTAGGGCCTGTAGAGAGACCTCGGTCCCATCCCCACCTGCCAGCTGGGTGTCTTCCCAGGACAAGTCAATAAGGTCTTCCATCTCTGGGGCTGGTTGGGACATATGTGGTACAGTACCAAAGTCTCCTGATAACAGGCTTGGTTGCTGGGGAGGAGGAACTAAACTCAATGCTTCCGGTGGTATACAGTCAATAAGCCCCATCATGTCAAAGACAGGCGGCGTTATACGTTGGAATAGGCAAACATAATCCTGTTCTAGTTCCCACTCTCGGTTGGCAAGAAAAGATAGATCTGGCTGAATGGCATCGATCTCTGTAAGGTCCCAGTTGTCTGCCCGCTCAGCTCGGATGGACCAGAAGCGAGCAATGTCGGTGTCTCCGAACCAGAGACTAGTTTCAATAGTATCCCACAACAAACCAGGGCCGTCGTAGTCTTCCCCCTCAATACACTTGTACTCAATCAGCCATGGGTAGAGGTGGTAAACATGCCACCGCAGGGCCCGATAGGAATCATCCAGCCACACCTCAGTCTCAACTAGCGTCTCCAGTTCGCTTACCCATTCCTCTGAGGGCTGGTTTCCCAATAACGGCATCCGCAGCTCTAGTTGTTCTGCTTGGCGCTGGTTAGTGGTCAGGATTTCCTCGCACCGGAAGGGTCGAATTTCGTCGATGTCCTCCTTCCAGAGATCGGTACGAAGCGCCACCCTCCACTCTGTCTCTCTTTCCTCTGGGATAGGATACTCCATACTGCGCATCACATCCTGTAGTCGCTGCTGGAGCCTGGCGTCAAAGTGAGATACTGCACGGCCTTCCATCTCTGAAGTAGTGCTGGTTTTCCCAAATCTTTATGTAGACAGGGACGCTGTATGAACACTAGCGTCGCCTTCAATTTGTAAATCCAAACGAACTGTGTCTCTGAGCTGCTTTACCTCGCACTAGGACGCCATCCCACCGCTGCCACCAATGTAACGGATCACCTGGCACCCCGACTGGGTACCTCCGTTGAAGGATGCTCCTAGCGCTTCCTGAGGACTCCAAGCACTGCAGCAGACACCACAACCACCGAACCGGAGAAGCATATGAATCCTCTCAAGCATATGAATGCTGTAGACAGTTGAATAGGAACCATACGAATAGGTTTACTCTCCTAGCAGTCAAACTGGAACAGCATACAATAAATCCTTCCCCCAATAATGAGACGACACTTCACTTTGAGGGTTAAAACAGGAACCCCCTGTACTGTCACATACAGTCTCTTTTATTCCCAATCCACAAACATAGTACAGCCCACAGGGCGTTACAAAACAACCAATCACATCACAGTTACATCCCACATATTCCCTCCCCTTATCCTGAGAGGAAACTCAATTATACATACAGTTAAAACATACTTTCTACCCAACTTTCATAACTCCAAAACCATACATCACATTCACATAAAATTACATATTCACAATCAATCCATTCAGGGGAACAACATATTCAAAAATTGCACAAATCAGACAAGGGGTTCAAAAGTTAGTAAAAAGTCCTTTGTGACTAAATGAAGCATGGCTTTCTGGCCCAAACCAGTTTCAGAGTCTTCTATCCTGGAGATAAGTAATTCAATTATCTCCCAGGATAGACACAAGACTCCATTAAGCACATGGTTGCAAAAAGACACAAAACACTTTAAAATACATAAAGTCACATTTACACCTAACACACAGACATTTCACATATCCCCAGATAGCTGGGATCTGAGTGCACATTATTAGATGAATGGCACTCAGATCACACAAATAAGCCTTTCTGCAGGGGAAATAAACGGTTTAACCTGCAGGGCCATAGTCCAAAGGGAGCAGGCGAGCAACCAGGCTTCTCCAGTTCACAGTGGCGAGGTTGGTTTCGCCACAGAACCACTGCCCGTCTCCACTATAGTCAAAGCGCAGCTATATTAGCATCAGTTTTTATATTTAGTTACACTTTGGAGTTTAATGAAAAAGCCTCTGTCTACTCATCAAACTAGCTACGACTGAGTGGAGTCGGAAAATTTCTCCAGATAGGTTAGTTATGCCTTGCGTACGGCACTGGGATTGTAACTAAATTCTCTTGTACAACTGTTTAGCGAATAAGCCTCAAATCATTGTGAAGTGAAGGAGAGCAGCCCAAGATAAAGTTATGACGTTTTTCACTAAACTAGACATTTTGGAGAATCTACAAGAGAATAGCAAATTTTAGGCAAAGTACACAAATTGTAAGAAAATAGATTCTGGAGCTCAGCTACTTTGAATTAAAATGTGCACTGGTTTGTCCATTCTCTACAGTTCTCTGTGTAAGGCAGGGGTAGTCAATCTTCGGCACTCCAGCTGTTGTGAACTACATCTCCCAAAAGGCTCTCACAGCCTCGCTGCATCGGTTGATACCGTTCTTTCATGCCACGATAGCTCTCAAGCTGAGACACAGGTCCGATGCCTTTCTTACGTCGGCCTGCGCTGTCCTGGAGTCACTCCTTGGTGGTACTGGAAAATAGCCTGACAAGGCTGAACTGCCCACCCAACTCCACGATCGCAGAAGCCTGGAATCTCAGCCAAACATATGGACATCGGAACTACAGGGAGTGCAGAATTATTAGGCAAATGAGTATTTTGACCACATCATCCTCTTTATGCATGTTGTCTTACTCCAAGCTGTATAGGCTCGAAAGCCTACTACCAATTAAGCATATTAGGTGATATGCATCTCTGTAATGAGAAGGGGTGTGGTCTAATGACATCAACACCCTATATCAGGTGTGCATAATTATTAGGCAACTTCCTTTCCTTTGGCAAAATGGGTCAAAAGAAGGACTTGACAGGCTCAGAAAAGTCAAAAATAGTGAGATATCTTGCAGAGGGATGCAGCACTCTTAAAATTGCAAAGCTTCTGAAGCGTGATCATCGAACAATCAAGCGTTTCATTCAAAATAGTCAACAGGGTCGCAAGAAGCGTGTGGAAAAACCAAGGCGCAAAATAACTGCCCATGAACTGAGAAAAGTCAAGCGTGCAGCTGCCACGATGCCACTTGCCACCAGTTTGGCCATATTTCAGAGCTGCAACATCACTGGAGTGCCCAAAAGCACAAGGTGTGCAATACTCAGAGACATGGCCAAGGTAAGAAAGGCTGAAAGACGACCACCACTGAACAAGACACACAAGCTGAAATATCAAGACTGGGCCAAGAAATATCTCAAGACTGATTTTTCTAAGGTTTTATGGACTGATGAAATGAGAGTGAGTCTTGATGGGCCAGATGGATGGGCCCATGGCTGGATTGGTAAAGGGCAGAGAGCTCCAGTCCGACTCAGACGCCAGCAAGGTGGAGGTGGAGTACTGGTTTGGGCTGGTATCATCAAAGATGAGCTTGTGGGGCCTTTTCGGGTTGAGGATGGAGTCAAGCTCAACTCCCAGTCCTACTGCCAGTTCCTGGAAGACACCTTCTTCAAGCAGTGGTACAGGAAGAAGTCTGCATCCTTCAAGAAAAACATGATTTTCATGCAGGACAATGCTCCATCACACGCGTCCAAGTACTCCACAGCGTGGCTGGCAAGAAAGGGTATAAAAGAAGAAAATCTAATGACATGGCCTCCTTGTTCACCTGATCTGAACCCCATTGAGAACCTGTGGTCCATCATCAAATGTGAGATTTACAAGGAGGGAAAACAGTACACCTCTCTGAACAGTGTCTGGGAGGCTGTGGTTGCTGCTGCACGCAATGTTGATGGTGAACAGATCAAAACACTGACAGAATCCATGGATGGCAGGCTTTTGAGTGTCCTTGCAAAGAAAGGTGGCTATATTGGTCACTGATTTGTTTTGTTTTGTTTTTGAATGTCAGAAATGTATATTTGTGAATGTTGAGATGTTATATTGGTTTCACTGGTAATAATAAATAATTGAAATGGGTATATATTTGTTTTTTGTTAAGTTGCCTAATAATTATGCACAGTAATAGTCACCTGCACACACAGATATCCCCCTAACATAGCTATAACTAAAAACAAACTAAAAACTACATCCAAAAATATTCAGCTTTGATATTAATGAGTTTTTTGGGTTCATTGAGAACATGGTTGTTGTTCAATAATAAAATTAATCCTCAAAAATACAACTTGCCTAATAATTCTGCACTCCCTGTAATGCTGCAAAGTCAAGTGCTGCCCAAAATGGTGCCTGCAGAGAGACCGCCCACTATAGCTCCCACTACTTAATTCGGAAGACAGGGCCCTCAACAAACTCTCATGGAGCCCACAGAAGGCTCGGCACCAGCCACAAGCAATGATCTGAAGATATCCATAAAATGTTTGCAGTAGATGTTTTTGTCATTAGAGCAGATATGCAAAATTTAACTCACAGAGGAGGACAATATCACAGGTACTGGGAATGTCAACTCAACAAGGTACTCTCCAAGAGCTACAGTTAGCACAGCAGGCGCTATCTGTACAGCTTACTACTCTTCAAGATACGTGTAGACACAATCAGAGTAAAATGTGAGGCATACTGGCCGCAATGACGGCTGAGGAGCTACCACACTCTCTGAGACTCCTATTAACGTCTATTCTACCTCCTGCTGTGTCTAGGAAAATAGTTCTCGATGGAATGTATGGCATACCTACTATGGACAAGCCCTAGCCTAATATTGTAAGTGACGTCATCCTTTGCTGTTCTCATGTCAAGATAAACGTCATATCCTGAGAGGCAAGACACCACTGTCTTTTGAGGACTCACAACTATCCTTTTTACCAAGATCTTACTAAAGCTACTATACAATGGCGCAAATCCCTCAGCGAGGTCAACTATGCACCTCCAGAGTGTCATACAGGTGGGGAGCACACAGATCACTTCTGGTTACCCATAATGGAACAATGCACATACTCACCTCGACAACAGAGGCACCCACTCTCTTCTTACCACTGGAACTGATAGAAGGAAACTCAACCAAGGCTACACAAGATACTACTGGTACATGGAATCCCTCTACTGTACTTTGTCTCGAGGTCTGAAGTGGAGAACTGTCCTCACACCTGCCCGAGACAGGTGCCAGAAATTAATACGTTGGCTCTACTGTCTGCTCAGACCCTTCTTCATTTTCCTTGTTTTCAAATGTTGTTTATATAATTCCTTTTTGGGGGGCGTGGCCTGACAGTTAATGGAGTAGGACGCACTCATTCCGAGCTCCTAGGCCCCAACCTGCTTAGCCCCGATTAACCAGCACAGCAACGCCGCAGAAAACGCACATCCATGGGGGGGAAAAAATCGGAGGCTACCTACCGCAGCCCAGGTCACTCCGGCCCCTTCCCGACAGCCAGCCGGCCCGATGGACGAGTTCCTCGCCACGCCGCATGGCCTCCGCGACTCCGGCGAGGCCGGTACACCGGCCCCTGATTCCCCGGGCTCCAGCATAGCAGGCTCGGCGAGAGAATCGGGCACACCAGGCACCCTGTCCCAAATATCCGCGGACCTCGCCGCGATTTCCGCGAGCATGATGACCCGGAAGGATAAAGGTGAAATAGTGGCTGAACTGAGGGCCATAATAAGGGAGGAAATAGCGGCAGTTCGCACCGACCTCACGGCGCTGGAGCAGCGAGTAGACATGTTGGAAGAGGAACGCATACAAACCCAGCAGCACAGACAGGCATCGGAGCTGGCAACCACGAGGCAGGGCAATATCCTCCTGGACCTCCGCCGGCAGGTTGAAGATCTTGATAATCGCGGCTGGCGGAACAACATCAGGGTCAGAGGCCTGCCTGAATCCGAGGATGAGGTACCGCAGGAGATCCTGACTGGCCTATTTGCG